TATCACTCTATTGTTAGTTTTTATTTTTGTAGATATAGACATTCCAGTCATTTCCCAATGCCAGTACCAATGGAATGGCTTTCTTCTTCCACTTTAAAGTTATAAAGCTCAGTCCAATTTGATTTAAGGAAACTTCTCTTTTTTAATGACAGGGTAGAAATAAATTGAACATTCAAATAAAATGATAAGAAATTATTTTAAAAAGCAACAATAATATGACTGAACATACTTGAAGCAATTAATGAAGGTTAAAACACACACATCATAATAAGTAACATATGGCAAACTATCCTTGGGTGTACAAGCTTGAAATGAAACTCTACAGTTGTAAAATACCTTTCTTTTCTACATGGCAGATGGAGTGGACTATTTAAAGACCTTAATAAAAAAGTCATTGTTCACTTCAAACAAACAAACAAACAAACAAACAAACAAACAAACAAACAAACGTGTTATCAAGGTAACCCCTAAAATTACTTTTGACTGAAAATAAAATTTAAAAGACTAGTATGATATTCTAAAAAGGCAGTCTGACAAATATTTTGGGGTACAAAATACTGTCCTTTTAACTTACTTTGGTTTAACAATCAGACCATAAGTTATATGGAAATTATTTCCAAATCAATTCACTTGAAGTTGTTTATGGCCAAGGACAGGCATCCATTTACCAATAAGAATTTCACTTAAATTCTCTGAAATACTTACTGTTAGAAAAATAACCCACATGAATTACAGCCACCTGGGTGGAGAGGTACACAAGACAGCTCTACAGCCCAGGGCACTAGACAGCTGCTCATTGAGCCACCCCTGCCCTTAAAATAAGTCGTCACTTGATAGCACGTCCTCTCCTCTCCCTCAGAAGGGAGTAGGCTGTCAAATGTAGTCCCTTTGGGCAGGTCCACACATGCAGGCATGCGCGCTTCCAACAGCTCAAATAGAAGCGGTGCAAATATGAGCTGCGGCTTTTTGCCTCAGCACACATGCCCAGACACGCACTTTGGTGTGGGGCAAATTGTGCCACTTGGGGCAAAATAACCCTGCCTGGCTCCTCCTGGATGTGCAGCCAGGGGGAGCTAGAGGACGGTGCCTGCACCTGTGCTGGCCCCAGCAGTATAAAAAGCTGCTCTGGCAAGTAGCTCAGGGCTACTCACTCTGAGGAGCTTCTGAGGCCTGGCCAGTTGGTACCTAGGGACACTACCCCATCTGCAAGCTGGACTGCTGAAGGAGCCCTGAGAGCTCCCTGCACCCTCTGCAGCAGTCTGGCAGTGGGGTCTGCTGCCTGGCTGTGACCTGCTGCCACCTGCAACAGCATGTGGCCCCAAGGCTGCATGCCTGCCAGACCCAGATGGGGGCAGCATGGCCGTTAGAGGCATCTGCACCTCTGGTTGCACCTCTGGGATAGTTGCTAGTGGGCTGTGGCTGCAGTTGGCCAATGTGCGGCACTACTGCCATGTGTGCCACCACCTAGCCATGTGGGCAGCCGTCACCTGGAAGATGTTCTCAGTGCGGTGGCCTGCTTTGAACTGTCAAAGCATGTCCTTCTGGCCCCAAGTGGCCAGGAGATCATCCATGTCCAGCTGGGTCCCAGATGCCAGATCTGAGCAGGCTCCTCTGCCTGGATCCTGCCATTTGCCTCACTAGCAGGAATTCTGGTGTTCCCTATTTCAAAACTGTAAAATCCCTGATAAAAAAAAAAATCCCAGTCACCTTTAAAATACCCCCAAATCCATGTTTTTCCACAATTAAAACAAAAGACCACTGTATATATATACAGATATAGAAATATATATATATATACACATACATACAGAGAGAGAGAGAGAGATCAAATCAATTTTAAAGCAAAAAAGAAAATCAGAGCTACCCTTACCTCCTTTGCTCACCAGGACGTGCAGTGCTGAGCAGCACTGACATACCAGTGCCCTACCCGTCCTCTGCCCCTCACTCCCAACCCACAGGCTGTCCCCCACCCCAGTCCCCTCGCTCTAAACCCACTCACTCCCCTGGCCGATCCCAGCTCCAACTCACCCCCCCCCAACCCGTCCCCAGCATCCTCGCACTCACCCGCAGTAGCAGCAGCCATCAGGGCCGCTCAGGGCCTCATGCCACAGTCCCCACCGCACGTCAGAGGGCAGCGGGGCTCAGCCCCACTGCCTGGCACCCATGCTGCCACATTGTGGGATTGCAGCCCAGCTCTGCAGGGCACTATGTGGCGCCACATGCTCTCTGGTAGCTCGGGGCTACTGCGGCTGCAGGACGGGGAGAGTGGCCCACCACCCTTCCCATTCTACTGCTGGTACAGAGACAGGGTGGACCCCGTCAGGCTGGGGGGCACATGCCCGCCTGTTCTCCCTGCTCCCACTATGGCTAAATGTACACACACACACGCGCAGCCCAGTCCTGCCCCCACTACCTCCAGCCCAACTGGAGGAGGGGCCACACTTCCAGCTCCCAGGGAAGCAGATGTGAAAGCCGCAGTTTTAAACTTGGTGCCAGAAATGGGTACCAAGCTTAAAACTGCGGCTTTCACTTCCCTGCTGATGAGGATCCCAGGGCCAGAGCCCCAAATTGGTAGGGGCCCCTGGGCTCGTGCCCAACTGACCTGTGCATTAATCTGCCTATGGCTTGCATGTCTGGATATGGCCCATGGGGCCACGAATCAGGGTGGTGCTGCACAGTAGCATGAAAAGCACAGGGGATGGCAAAGCTGATAGGGGGTAACATCCCTATCCCTAGTTTTCAGCTCCTAGGACTTGGCAGTCCCTGCTCCTGCTGAGCACCTGGCAACAAGGGCGGCAACAGGAAACCAGTGGGCAACTGAGTTTAGCATCAGGTTCCTCAAGCCCAATTCCTGGCCCCTAGAGCTTTGCAATATGCACCCCAGACTGCCCAACTGGGAGGTGGGAGCAGCAATGAGAAAAATGTCAAAAGCTGGCAAAGCACCCCCCGCCCCTCGCCCCCACAGTGTGGTCTGTCCACAGTTTGGGGAAGAGACTTCGGATGTGGCTGTTGCTGCTCCCCTTCCTTCCCAGACCAGATTGGGCGAGGAAGGGAACGGGGAGGAGGATGCATACAAGCATCCATTCAAGTGAGAGAAACTCTCATGAGAACTTCCAGGTTGATATCTTCTCCCAGAAGGGGGATATTTCCTCCAAGAAAAAATTCAGTGAACGCTTGTACACTTCTCATTTCTACCAGGAAAACAGCAATTGTCACTGTAGAAATGTAATAGCCGTATGTGACCTACATTAGTTCTTTTGTAAAAGTAGTATTTAAGTCTCAAATATACTCAAGCCATCTGACTGATTTATGATTTTCTAAAGTAAGCATTATTTTTACAGGAACTGAATGACTTGGTTATATTTCCAAATTGGGAAGAATCATAGAAAGTAAGGATTGGAAGGGACCTCAGGAGGTCATCTAGTCCAGTGTTTCTTAACTGGTGGGTCACGACACAAAAGTGGGTTGCAATAGTATTTGAAAGGGTCAGGAGGAAGTCCCAGAAAAACCCATTAAAGCGTCAGTTTCCCCTTGCAGACTGGCAGCGTTTCAGCCTGCAAGAGGCTGCTTGGGATGATTGGAGGCAGCGGACACACATGCATCTGTATGAGCAGATCCACGTGGCCAGCATACAGTGAGGCCAGATTGTGGGAGTAACTCCAGCCACTGGACACAGGTAAATATATGGGGAGAAAGAGATGCAAGTCTAGGGGACTATCTGGAGGGCTGGGGTGTGCGTGCGTGCATGGCTGTGTGCGTACACATATGTACCTGCCGGTGCTAGGGATGGTGGCCAGGCATGGCACTGCGACAGGGCAGGGAGATCAGGGGGAGAAAGCACCTGGCCCTTTAGTTGGGGAAGGAGCTAGGGGTGGTCCTTTGCAGCGGAGAGCTGTGTGCCTCGGCTGGCAGCATGGAGCCAGTGCCCATGCACACAGGGGCCTGCACTTGCTGCTCGCACTCCAGCCCAACCAGAATAGGAGCAGCTGAGGGCCCCCTCTGACAGTTCCTCATGTATCGTAACAGCAAAACAAATCAATATATAATATGTATTCCTAGAAAAAGGAATACTGAAATGAGAGATCCAGGCCCCTGGAAGACATTAAATTCATTGCATGATTAAATATATAGAAGCAAAATGTTTTAATCGTGCAATAAATTATAATATGGTACATATTCAAACCATTTATCTCACAATTAAAATGGCAAACCAGCCACAAAGATGCTCCATAATGAAACATCTATGGTTTATATCACACTAATGTGAACATGTGACTCATTAGTTTAATGATACACATATAAAGTTCTTGGCTCATACAGAGCCTTGCACCAGCAAGCCAGACACCTCCTATGAAAGGCTCTTACAAACATGCAATGAGCCATTCAAAGATACAGGGCACTAAGAGGAGGGAGCAGGAAACTCACTGCTTCTTATGTGCTGGCAAGTTGAAAGGGAGGGTGTGCAGCCTTGAATCAGAGTACTGTTCCGTAGTACTAGTAGCCTGAGTTCCAACAAATGTGTGATGGGATCTAAGAAATTTAATTTCAGATACCCAAAACTATATTCTGCCATGCCAGATCTTGATAAAATTCCTGTGATCCAATTGTGAGATTAAATTAACATCTGCCAGGAGTCTCAGAATAAATCAACTTCTAAGACTTTGGCAAGGTACCTCATTAGCTGATGGCAGTAATTGCTTTTAATCAGGGGACAACTTTTATTAACTGTTAACAAATACACTGTTAAATGGGGAAAGAGAAAAGGAGATTAACAATATTTAACCACTTTGGAAATTTAAAAATTTCAGTCTAAATGCTAAAAATAAGCCTGTACTTATTTATTAATATTTTTTTAAAGAACTTGAAATGCTACATGAAGAGAAATAGCTGCATCAAAGAATAAAAACCTGTCAAATGTATAAATGGTTCCATTTATAAAGCAACGTCTTAGAAAACATAACTGCATATAATATAGTTCAAATATATTAGTGAACATATACCTTATTTGTGGTCTTAATCCCTATAAATGTCTGTCCAAGCGGCACAGGTCGAAAACGAGCATCAAAGTAGAAGAGTCCAATATATGGATTGACATGAAGAAAGTTGGCAACATCAAGATAATTGGGTAAAGTAGCTGACAGGCCCAAAATCCTAATCATACTCTGTGTTGATTCAACCTATAAAAAATTAAATAAATCATTTAGATATGAATAATTAAACAGTTTAAGTTAGGTAATAGTAAAAGTAAATGATTAAAAATATTCCTTGTAAAAACCAGTCATATAAGCAACAAACTGTTTAAGCACAAGAACATCAAACTCCGGTTGGCAATTCCTGTATCATCTTTAAAACAATTCTAATATACATTCCTATTAAATCACTTTACTGTACTTTTACTAACATTTATAGTGGTTTCCTAGCAAACATTGCTGTCTTCCAAAACAATGACTTTAAAAAGGGATATCCAATTTTACTGGGAAAGGTAAAGAAGAGATGCTTTAAGTGTCATTTTGCAAACAATCCAGGCCAGACCACAATCCTGAGTTTATGAATGCAAAAAACAATAACCAAGGTAACCTAGCAGAGTTTTATTTAAGTGGTTAGTTCATTTATAACTAGGGACCTACTGAATTTGTAGTTTTGCGGATTTCACAGAAACTATGAAGTCCATGAAATCAATCAACAACAACAAAACCTTAATAAAAATCAAATGCTGGCTCCACAATGGGAGCCAGCTCCTCCACTGCCAAGAGGGGAAGGCACTGGCTGGCAGGGTGGAATGAAGGGCAGCTGGAAAAATAGCAGCTGCCCCTTCATCCTTCCTCCCCCTGCCAGGGCCTCTCCACCAATCAGTGCCAAGAGGCAGCCAGCAGTCAAGATGGCAGCTGGACCCTCGCCCCTCCTCCCTGGACTAGGTCTCTCCACCAATCAGCATGGAGGAGAAAGGCTCCCAAGAAATAAACTTTATGCTATGATCAAACCACAAAGTCCTCCCATAATTTAGTCTCCTATTTTAACTGAATTGCCCCGATAATATTTATTCTCTAATATTCATCCATATGAATGTCTTTTCTGTGCAGAATGTTTTGATGCCTGTCATCACATTACCTAGTGCTTCATGTGACAAATACTCTCTCCTTATAAACAGAAACAATTGTTAAATACAATTTACTTTACTATTCAAGTTTAGTTTTTCTAAGTTAAAGCAATATTTAAAGGAGCAAATCAGTTAAACATTTTTTTTAAATTGCGAGTTTGCATCATATGCTTTGTATTATGATTTTCCTTCAGGAGGACAGTAGAGATTTAAAGATTTTTGTAAAAGGAGAGCCATACACAAAAATTCAATTATGTGGATTATTTCATTGAGAAAATCCATGTTAAATATCACATTCTATGATTCTAACTCCTATGACACATTTCGACACACCGACAAAAGATTCATTATAGCAGATAAATGAAGACTCATTTTTTAGAAGATATGTTAGGAAAAGACTAGGGTTTTCAGAAATGAGTGGGAGGAAATTTTCACAAAATTGTGTGTTTCTGGCAATATTTCAGTTAACCGGTCATTGAAAAAAAATGTTGGAATGATTGGAGGCCGCAGACACACATGCATCTGCACAGGCAGATCCACATGGTCAGCATACAGCGAGGCCATGTTGTGGGAGCAGCCCCAGCCACTGGACGCAGGTAAGTATAAAGGGAGCAAGGGATTGAAGTCCAGCGGACTATCCAGAGCGGGTGGGGGAGAGGATGTGTAGAATAAGATCTTCGCAGGTAGTGGATTATTCCATATTGTATCTGCAAACTGGTGGTAGGAGGATTGGTGGTTTCCCCCCTCAGTTTCCTCTGAAAAAGCTACTTCATATTACAAGTATTTAAACATCAAACAGCAATTGTTCCAGCTGTACAACTTCCCTTTCAAGAGCTTCTAAAGAATATAGCAAACTTTTTAGGAAGCTAAATCGTTAAGTGGTAATACCTCTCCACTTCCAACTTTTCATCTGTCATACATTCTTGGATGACTAATCTGCCTCAAACTCTCTCTTCCAAAATCTGAATTTTAATCCTTTCCTCTCCTTTCTTTATCCTCTACAAACTACCAGGTGTTCTGAATCTGAATGCTTTCCCTGCTTCAAATGTTGCTGAGAATTGGCAAAAGACTGTTCCGTCTGCATCTTTCCAGGTTCATGGAAAAATGAATATTTTGTTTATAGAACAAACAGGTGTATATGCATTCATATGCATGTGTGTACACTGTCTTCTAAGGGTGGGTTGAATACTCTATTTAGCAAAAAAAAATGTATTTTTATGGCTACTGAAACTAATCATAATATTTGACTCAAATTAATTAAATGGTGTCAAATATATGGAAGTAAATTTTGTTATAAATATCTTAAAAGTAAGCAGAAGTGAGTCCTTTATAAATGTATAAGATGAAAAGAGTCTGAAGATATCACAAAGCTTCCATTAACATGACCATCCTTTTGCTAAAAGGATTCAGTTTAGGCAGCTTGTCCTATGTGCTTATCATGCATATAGTCTGTGTTTGGGGTATTCATTTTGTGCACATTTAAGTCACAGTCTCACACACACACACACACACACACGCACACACACACACACACACACACACACACACACACACTCCTGTGTTATTAACTCTCTTTAATCTTCAATTGGTTTCTTTGATGTCCTTGTATTATGGGAAATGAGAGATTTTAAGCTAAAAACATATTTTTACGTTATTCCAGAGCAGTAAGATTTTGAAATATGGAAAAGTGTTTTAACTGATGTAACAAGCCCTTTATGCCATATTGATAATCAAAAGACTTCCTTCAAATGTCAATAAAACCAAACAAAAGGTACTTTGAGATAGTAAACAGCACCCCCAAAATGTTTGGAACCTATAAATGAGCAAGTCAATATGGTCCAAAGCATGATTTCATTGATAGTGAAACTTCAGTTCCAAAAGATTTAGTTTAGTCCTGCAAACATTTGGCCCATGGAATCAATCTAGCAGTGGCTGTGGCCTGCTATAGAATCTGTGGTTCTGGGGGCCCCAGTGTACCCCACCAATGCCTACTGGTGGCAAAGGGGAGAAGGGGAGCAAATAAGGGTTCTGCCACCACTGCCACATGATTTGGAACAGATTTGGCTGTCAAGGAGCCCAAGGTGAATTTGACACTTTTGATGTAACGGATGTTGATGCATGTGTGGCAGCTGTGCACTAGCTAATAATTTCTCTGAGTTCCACAAAGATGAGCAAGTACCTGATTTTCTGCCTGACTGTATCCATCAAATATTACTTAGATTGCTTATAAAACTAAGGATTCAATAATTAGAATGCTTAAAGTCTAGTCAAAGCAAATTAAATGTGTCACGATTAATATGGAATGTTTAAATGTTCTTGTTAGGTTTTTGGTTGTAGCTGTGTTGGTCTAAGGACATAGGCAGGCAAGGTTTTTTGCGTAGATGTGATATCTTTTATTAGACCAACTGAGTAGTTGGAAAAAAAGTTCTTAGCAAGCTTTTGGGTGCAAACACCCTTCCTTCAGGCATCAGGAGTCTCTGCTGTTTCTGAGACTCCAAGGAATGAGAGAAGCTAAAAGTGTGACAGGATGTCAGTGAGAATGTAAATAGGAAGAAATTAGAAAGACAAAAGGTAAAGCAGGGAAGGGAAGGGGGAAAAAGCTGGGGGGAAAAGCTCAAAGGTAGACACTCTAGTGATAGTAATGCAAAGCAAAAAAAAAAAAAGAGGCAGGCTGTAAAAGAGGAAGTAGCTGAAAATTGTCTTTCTAATTTTTACCTTTGGCTCCCCCCCCTCCTTTCCCGCTTTACCTTCTGTCTTTCTAATTTCTACCTATTTACATTCTCACTGACATCCTGCCACGCTTACAGTTTCTCTCATTCCTTGGAGTCTCAGAACAGCAGAGACTCCCTATGCCTGAAGAAGGGTGCTTGCTAAGAACTTTTTTTCCAACTACTCAGTTGGTCTAATAAAAGATATCACATCTACTCAAAACACCTTGCTTGCCTAAATATTTGTTACAAGACAAACAGGAGCTAGATAAGAAATAACCTTCTCAGAAAAAATGAAGAAAGGTTTATTTCATGCAGAAATCCCACTGATTTGGTATATACAAAGTATTAATTTATCACCCTCATCAAAAAAATATCTGTTGAGGCAAAGTGTTTTATGAAGTGATAAGGTAACAAGGATGTTACAGTTATGGGCAAATTTGGTGATGGAGGTGATACACACAACAGTGTAGGAAGTCCACTAATTGCTTCTCTTTGTATTTTGCATGAAAGTTAGATAGTCCTAATGGACCATCATGTCCTACAGGAACTATCTTCATTCACAATGGCCCTACATTTTATCCTGTTCATCACAGCATTGATGTCATCTATTCAGTTACCATCAGGTCTTCCAATTCTTAGACTCTCTTCCATCAGGCCAGAAAGCATAACTTTTTCTCCAAAGAACCATCTCTTGTCCTACAATCAAAGAAATGCACTGTCCTTTTCTGAATGCGGCTTTCTAAAATAAGATAAACGCTAATCTTCTGAAGAATTTATTCAGTAATTTTAAAATTTTTTTTTGCCAGAGACCTACAGCAGTCTTCAATTAGCCCATAAGTTTAAAGGCATCTCTCCCTCTTCTCATTTCTTTTTAATGCCCAGGATTGAGAATCATTAAGTCATAATCGAGAAAACTGCCAGCTTCAAATCTCCCAGTTTATGATCTACAATCTTTTCAACTTGTGTTCATGTTCTACAGGGCTTCATGTGGAATAGTTAGCCTCAATTTGATGTCTTCTTCACTTGTTTCCTTTAATTTTTACCATAGAAGTTTTCAAAATGTACCATCATTTCAGGAATATCCCTAACAGATATCACCTTGTTATTTGAATCATGCTCATCATTAGGCAACATAATCTTTGTCTGCCTAATATTGAATAAAATCTTTCTTGGCACTAACTACTTTCACTCTGCTTAATAATGTTTGTGTTTTTCTCATACCTCCATAAATAAGCATAGTGTCATCTGTATAGTATAAATTTTGAGGCTGCTGCAGAGCAGTTTAAGTCCACCTTGAAAATCTTGTAGTTTTCAGAATACATGTTGAAAAACTGCTGCATCCTCAACAAACCACCTGATCAATCTGACC